CGTTTTTCACTCCACAACCTCAAGATGATTCCTCTGTCTCTGTTTCCCTCTTACAAATACTCACAGAGAGTATAGGTTGCGTATCCGTTTTTCGAAATGCTTGGGACCAGAAATATTTTGGATTTTGGATATACAGTTGGCCCTCCACATTTGCGGCTTTCACCTTTGTGGATTCGATTATTTGCAGTTTCGATTAATATATTCTCTCTAGGAATCTCTTAAGTCCTCCAGTCCAATTCTGCCAGAAGAGGACCATAGAGTTGTGCTGGAGAAGCTAGAAGTTCCTAGAGCCGACTTCTAGTCAGCTATAACTTGCAGTGACCCTATCATATGGGTTTATTGGCAAGATATTCAGAGGAGGCTTTTCATTGCCTCCCTCTGGGGCTGAGAGAGTGGAACTTGCCCCATGGTTGACCATGGTTTCCATGGCTGAGCAAGGATTTGAACCCTGGTCTCCAGTACTCAAATCATTGCAACATGAAACTACAAACTACTAGATTTCAAATTGCAACCAGGACTCAGATTCCAAACTATCTCCAAACTCCCAAACTATATATACTAAATATTACAGAATAAACAAAAACAATTTGAGGTGGAACTTCTCCTCTCCCTATGTTTGTTCCTTCCTTCCTTCCTTCCTTCCTTCAGGCAATATCAAAACTAGTTTGCTTTTATCCTAAGCCTCTTCTCAATGAATATTTACCCTTAATGGAAAAGTTACTTATGCCCTTCTCTTTTTTTTATTGTTACTGCTTTTACACGGGAGGATTTTGTTTGTATTATTTCGTCAGTGATAAATATTCTACTTACTCTTTTAAGTATTTCTTTTCCCTCCTCTCCGTGTTTTTATTAAGTTCTTGGCTGAAGGCTAAATGAGTAAGGAAACAAAAGCAGTTCTCTTTGCAAACATCTCGCTTGCCCAATCTCAAAACGGGCTTCTGTGCAAAGGGTTTTTTAGCAACGTTAAATTGGATTTTGAAGAGTCAGCTGATTCTAATAGCCTTTGCACACAAATTTAAAAAAGTTGATCTGATTATTGTTTCGGTGCTTGGCGATGGGTTTATGTAATCACTAATCTTGGCACTTCTTTATCTAAAGCAGATTACAAGACCACTGTCATTTTGGAGACAGGCATTAAAAAGATTTAGTTAGTATTAAATAAGTTAACTTTAGGAGACTTGGAAAGAAATGCAATGTGAGTTTACCTAACATCTCAAACACAAGACTATGCCTGCACAACTCCCCTGGAAAGTTGTTGTTTCTGTTATTATTATCAATGTCGTCATTATTATTAGCATTAGCATTGGTTGTCAAGTGATATATTAGTCTAACTAATAGCTGAAATATATTGCATCCTAAGAAGACATCAATATAGGTATCTTTCTACGATGCTGAGATGTGAGAAGTTAATTGAATTCATTCTGGATTCCCTTTTACTACTCTTTATAGACTGGGTTTTATTATATCAATTTTTTGAGCCACATTAGGACAAAAGTGAAGAAAAATTATGAAAAATTTTAAAAAATAGATCAAAGATGCAGTGACAAGCCAAATGCATAGACCAAAATTCATTTGCTAGTATATACTTGTTCTTCACCTTTAAATTGTTACTTATTCTTTTTAGTTTCTTGCCTTGAATGCTTTACTCTTCTGTTTTTTCTGTGTTTTCTTCCTTTTTTTTTTTTT